ATTTAACTTCTTCGGCTTCTTTTCTATGCAATCGCTGCTTTTGACTTTGAGCCAGGTACAGGTCACGTGGACGGGCCCGTCTCCGCATGAGGAGTTGAAGTTGATAGAAGAGCAACCATCTGAGGAAGTATTGATGATTCTCGTAAAAGAACAGATATAATCATAGAAAATAACTAAATCCATGAGAGTAATCAAATTAATGACAGTAACTAGACAGCTGTGTAGTCATGCGCTGGTTCCTCTCTCCCCTCTCTGTCGCTTCTCCGCCTTTTACCCGCCCGAGCCAAGGCTACAAGGCACCGCCTGTCGTCATCCGACACTGTTACTAAGGTCCTACACTACTACTGTTACCAAGGAGAGTCTACAGATTGGCGTGTTCCAGGTTGCACTCCAACCTCCCCGTCTCTCCTTACTCCATCTCAACGCCTCTCCATCTTTCTTCTATATTCATCGTTGATACAGTTATTGACTCTGGCTTATTAAGACAACCTTGTCCTGGTCGTTCTCGTTTTGTTTCGACTCACCAAATGCTGGTTCTTCTTGCTTGATATACTCGGCGGTCGGCGATAACTGTTGGAGCTCCGCCCGGTACTCAGTCGCTCTCGGAGCGAAACGAAAACATTGTTGATTGATCTTCGCGTACACATAAGTCATCATGCGTCTGAGATCTACAGTACGGCTCTCCCTAGCCGCTCTCCTCTCATTAAGCGCATCAACTACATCAGCCCGCAGCAACTACTCCCAGTCCGAGTTACTCCCCCCGCTCTTCTCCGCGCTCGATGACCGACCTCCCGAATGTCCTCCGTGCTTCAACTGCCAGCTCGATGCTTTTCAATGCGCCCAATTTGCGCCCTGCAACAAATTCAACGGCAAATGCGTATGTCCGCCTGGCTTTGGTGGTGATGACTGCTCGGAGCCGGTCTGTGGCTCTCTAGCTGACGGGGTGAATCGAGCGCCTCGAAAGGGCGGGTCCTGCGACTGCAAAGAGGGCTGGAGCGGTATTAATTGCAACGTTTGCCAGACGAACGATGCCTGCAATGCGATGATGCCGGAAGGTGAAGGAGGCGTCTGCTACAAGCAAGGCGTCACGGTCAAGGAGAATTACCAGATGTGCGATGTGACCAACCGCAAGATCTTGGACCAGCTCCAGGGCAGAAAGCCCCAGGTGACGTTTTCGTGTGAGGCCGACGACCACACCTGCAACTTTCAGTTTTGGGTGGACCAGAAAGAGTCCTTCTACTGCGCCTTGGACACCTGCGACTGGAATCTGGAGACAGGCTACAACCAGAATAAGTCGACGTACAACTGCAAAAATATCAACTGCAAGTGCATCCCAGGACGCATGCTTTGTGGCGAGGAGGGTTCGATTGATATCGGAGAGTTTCTTGCGCAGGAGATCAAGGGCCCCGCCTCTTTCCGAACCTTAACCACTGAAGGTGGCAGTCCGCAGGACGGAAGCAAGTTCCAGGAGCCGGCAATGGATGACTTGATCAAGAGCGTCTTCGGGGACCCTAGTATCTTTTTGAATTGTGATGCTGGTGAGTGCTTGTATCATACAGATGTCCCGGGATATGTGCGCCCGATCAAGCAAATCAATACCCCTCTGATTGCTGGTGTGATCGCGGGCTGCGCTCTCTTTGTCGTCGCCGTCATTCTGGGTGTGTGGTACCTCTCCCGCAGATCCTACCATGGACGAATCTATCTTCCTCTATCCGATGACTCGGACGATGAGGCCGCCAGACTTCTTGCAGACCACAAGCCCGCGGCATTGTACTGGGATAACGTGTCTTACTACCTTAATGGAAAGGAAATCCTATCTGGCATCCAAGGCGCTGCGCACCCTGGCGAAATTACAGCTATCATGGGAGCATCCGGTGCAGGAAAGACAACCTTCCTGGACATTCTGGCTCGCAAGAACAAGCGGGGTACGGTGCAGGGCGACTTCTACATCAATGGAGAAAAGCTCAGCGATCACGACTTCAAGAGCATGGTCGGCTTTGTCGACCAAGAGGACACTATGCTGCCAACGCTAACGGTGCATGAAACTATCCTGACCAGCGCATTGCTGAGACTCCCTCGGGACATGAGCCGAGCCGCTAAAGAACAGCGTGTATTTGAAGTGGAAAAGCAGCTTGGAATCCACCACATTAAAGACCAGTTGATTGGATCCGAGGAAGGCAGAGGCCGGGGCATTTCTGGTGGAGAGAAACGCCGAGTCGGCATTGCCTGCGAACTCGTCACCAGCCCGAGCATGTGAGTGTGACAATCATGCGACAGAGTAATCTAAAGTTGTGGCCTCAGACAAATTACTGACCAGCGTTGCGTGGCAGCCTCTTCTTGGACGAACCTACCAGTGGATTGGTACGAGTTTCCCAAATCTGGTGTGACCGCACTTTTTAGTTGTTCATTTGCTAATGGCTCTAAATAGGACGCTTTCAACGCTTTCAACGTTGTTGAATGCCTGGTTACTTTGGCCAAAACCTACAATCGCACAGTTATTTTCACCATTCACCAACCGAGGTCGAACATTGTGGCGCTCTTCGATCGTCTTATTCTCCTAGCTCATGGAAAGACCGTATATTCGGGCCCATTCTCAACATGTCAGCAGTATTTCGACGATTCAGGCTACTCCTGTCCTCCGGGCTTCAATATTGCGGACTACCTTGTGGATCTCACCATGCATGCTAGCGTTACCCGGTCACATGAAAATGGAAATGAGAGGCCCTTCTTGGACGTGCAGCCCCCGCGGACTGCCTCGAGTAGTTTGAGAGCGGTGAAGTCGGTTGCGAGCGCCTCCAACGCGAGCATCGAGGACAGCGTTGAGTCCAGTCGACGCCCCAAGAGTAAACGACGGATCTCTCTCAAGCAACGACAGGATAAACAGCTATACTCGCGTAAAAAGGACCACGAGACGCCGCCGACACCGAAGACCGATGAAGAAGACGGTGGTGAAGTATCTGACAGCACTCAGCAGTGGCTTCGCCTCTCCCGCCAACAGGGCCATGTTCCACCCCAGGTTCTGGATGACCCTGATCACTTGCCACCCGCTGCCCCTGGCCCAACCGATCTTGACATCCTGGTCGCCAACTACGCCTCCTCTGATGTTGCTCGCTCGGTTCATGATGAGATCGTTGCGGCCGTCCAGAAAGCTCACGTCGCGAACGGTTCTACCAATGCGGAGATCATGTCAGGAGCTGCTACCGGTCATGCAAAGAGTTACCCAAGAGTCAGCCTTTTGCGCCAGTTTGTGATCCTCTCTCAGCGGACATGGCGCAACTTGTATCGGAACCCGATGCTGATGCTCACACATTACGCGATCTCAATTCTCCTGGCAGTGCTATGTGGATATCTCTTCTATGGGCTGACGGACGACATCAAGGGCTTCCAGAACCGCTTGGGTCTTTTCTTCTTCATCTTGGCTCTGTTCGGATTCAGCACGCTTACCAGTCTGACGGTCTTCTCCACCGAAAGGCTTCTGTTCGTCAGAGAGCGGGCCAATGGCTACTATCATCCCATTACCTACTTTGCTGCCAAGGTGGTCTTCGACGTCGTGCCCCTAAGATTGATACCTCCGATCATCATGGGAATCATTGTGTACCCCATGACCGGACTGATTCCTGCTTGGGGAGAATTTTTCCGCTTCATCCTGGTGCTTGTGCTCTTCAATTTGGCTGCGGCTAACATTTGCTTGTTCATCGGTATTGTCTTCCGCGACGGAGGCGTGGCCAACTTGATCGGCAGTCTCGTCATGCTCTTCAGTTTGTTGTTTGCGGGTCTCTTGCTCAACCACGATGCGATTCCGAAGTCCGCATTGTGGCTTCAGACTGTGAGTTTCCGGCCTATTTTACCCCCGAAAGTTTTTAAGAAAGCTAACATAAGACTAGCTGTCCATCTTCCACTACGGTTTCGAGGCACTGATTGTGAATGAAGTGACCTTCTTGACATTGATTGACCACAAGTATGGACTAGACATTGAAGTTCCTGGAGCCTCCATATTAAGCGCATTTGGGTTTGATACCCTGGCGTTCTGGCCGGATGTCATCGGACTGGCGATCATCTCCGGAGCATTCATTGTGATTGCCTATGCAGCGATGCATTTCTTGCTCGTGGAGAAGCGGTAGATAATTTGGCTACTTTACCCCTGTCGCGCGGACGATGACCGGGGGCATCCGAATCGCCTAGGATCGATGTTTCTTCTTGCGATGCATAATCACACATCTGTTATTATTGCTTGTGATGTTTAGACGGACATATGAGTCTCTTCCTTCTGTTTCAGGGATGGGATTTGCGTCGGAATGATACACTGGATGTACATATATGACTGCTGGACGATGCTCTTGCTTGACGTTATCAATCGAAGACGCCAGATGCGGATAGAAGCACGTGTTCCAAACGTCATTGTTTGACAGCGAGAGTCAGGCTCAACTATGCTATGCTGCCTGTAGCGTTAGTAGAAGCAGTAGTAGTCCTAGTAGTTTATCTGAACGCATAGATAGATAGTTATATCAGCATTTGATTCATATTCCACATTAGTATTATCCCATCTCATGTGCGTGGGCGTCCTCCTACCTGTTCTTTTACTCCAACTGGTTAGATCATCACTCTGCACAAACCACCAGCACAGCTCCGACCTCCTGCGTCAGATTCTTCTCTCCATTTGCTGAAGTCATTCTTCAAGCTGTGAGATTTCAACACTGAACCCTTAGATCTACTACCACTCAGATCATCTCTTCTTCTACTCTTTACCCCTAATCATCTGTGTTATCATAGCTCCCAGTCTAGGCTTCTTTCGGCCTCACCGCCCGCTCGCTTCTCCATTCCGGCTTTTCTCAGCGGAAGAATCCACCCCCAACTCTGCTCTCTGTAGACCCCTCCACAGTCCACAGCTCCAGACCTTATTTCCACCATCTTCCCCGTTCTGCCTGTGGGCTTCAAGCAGCGGCTCATCCTCATCTTCATCCTCTCCATCACCCTCTCCTAGAAGCAGTCCAATCAGCAACATGTCCGGTGAAGCGTGGCTCTACCTGTTGGCGGTGCTCATCAACGCCGTCAACCTGTTCCTGCAGGTCTTCTTTACTATCATGTACAGCGATTTGGAATGGTAAGTCTCCGTACCTGCGACCCTGAGTCAATTACGACACACAAGCTAATCTGGTGACTTGCTGCAGTGACTACATCAACCCCATTGACCTCTGCAACCGTCTTAACGCCTACATCATCCCCGAAGCCGCTGTCCACGCCTTCCTCACTATCTTGTTCCTGATCAACGGCTACTGGCTCGCGCTCATTCTCAACCTGCCTCTGTTGGCGTTCAATGCCAAGAAGTATGTTTCGTCCGGAATAAGAGTCCCATAGGAGTTTTTGATTTGGGTCGCGGGAATCAGGAAACCAGGCTAACCCGTCGTTCTGTTTCTAGGATCCTTGACAACCAGCACCTTCTGGATGCGACTGAGATCTTCCGCAAGCTGAACGTCCACAAGAAGGTAGATATTCACTTGCATCTCGACACATGGGGAGACGGCTAACGAAAGACAACAGGAATCCTTCATCAAGCTGGGCTTCCACCTCTTGATGTTCTTCTTCTACCTCTACAGCATGATTGTTGCTTTGATTCGCGACGAATCCCACTGACTTCGGGACAAGACGGAGTATGCGATGCGTTACGGCCGTTCCCCTTGAGGAGTCACTGATGCGCTCGCTGTCTTTTCTAGTACCGGGGACGAAGTTAGATCCCTATACCTCAGTGCCTGCCTGATGAGTGTCGATGCGTTTGCCTCGTCAAACACCTGTCCATGATCAGTGATGAAACTCTGACGGGCAGTGTTGAACGACTGGGCGACTGCCTGATTCAAGCAGCGGGTATAAGATGTAATGTTGGGTGATGTCAATGATTGTACGAGGTGTGGTGAGATAGATGGTTCTTGATCCTGACTGACTGCTTTTGGTCATAGTCAGAAAGAGGACGTATGGAGGAAGGTTTGCAAGATGCCATGATGCTGTAATTGCTGCTTGTGATGTTCCTTTGCTATTTTCATGCTGTTGATGTCTGTAATGCTGTATATACCTCTTGAGCGGTTTGACAATAAAGAGCGTACGATACCCTTCGGGTGATGTAACTATTAATGGAATAATAAAAAGACCAAGGATATGCACGCCAATTGTTTGATACCTAATACGAAGAATGGATGTGGTGTTTTGTATATAGTTGCGTGGTTGATCTCATCCTGCGTTGTCCATCGGTCTTCGCTGGTGGGTGTCACCGTCGCCCGTAAAATTCCAGACTCGCCGACTTTCTGTAGCGGCTCACTTTTCCCAGAACCACCAACAGCCATCAACCGTCCGACGTAGTTTGAGACGTTTATTTACGCTCATTCCATCGCCGGAAGGACATATCTTCAATATGGCATCATTATTAGGTGCCGACTACAACTCCAGCGACGATGACGCCACAACGCCCCAGGTCGCAACGGCGACCCCAGCCACCAAGGTCGTTGCTGCGCCCGAAGTGAACACAGAGGTTTGGTCCCTTGAGCAGCCAGATTTTATCTTCTTTGGAAAATTTGGTCTCCTCTTACATCAAGGCTATGGAACTAACAACCCCATAGGATCCAGTGCACATGCAGATGATGCTGGCCAACACCACATCCAACGCCCTCACTTACAACGCAACATATGACGATCTCGCGCGACCGTCGCAAGGGCCGGCGAACCCCTTCAAGCCAGCCGGCTCCGCCAGCGGCCTGAAACGCAAGAATGTCCCGACCGGATTCGCCGAAGAGGCCTCCATCAGCGAGGCCACGTTCGCCGCGCAGCACCGCACATTCCAGAGTTTGGGATACACGCGAAACCCCTCGGCGCCGGACCAGTTCGTGGGGAATCTGAATAGTGCGGCAGAACATGGGGGCCGAGATGTGATCCAGATGAAGCCGTCGAAGGAGGTGTCTGCGGCGCTGCGCGCCAAGCGGCAGAAGAAAGGCGACCCCAGCATTGTCGAGGGCGAGGGCGCGTATCTGGGGCCCTGGGCAAAGTACCAGGACGACGACCGTGTCTATGAGGAGGAAGCTGCCTTAGCGGATCAGGAGCTGGGAACGGACGAGGAGTTTGTGGAGGAGGACGAGGAGCTGGCGCCGGCACACATGCCCGCCATGAGCAAGGCGGCGACCGAATACCAGGACGACGCGTCCAAGGTGGAAACGACCGAGTTCCACGGCAGCGAGCAATTCGACTATCTGGGCCGGACGTACATGCACGTTCCGCGGGACCTGGACGTCGACCTGGAAAAGGAGGTCGGCAGCATCAAGAACTACGTGCCCAAGAAGCTCATCCACACCTGGAAATCGCACACCAAGGCCATCACCTCGCTGCGCTTCTTCCCCAACTCTGGCCACCTTCTTCTCTCGTCCGCTGCCGACGGCAAAGCCAAGATCTGGGATGTGTATCACTCCCGGGAGCTTCTGCGGACCTTTTCGGGCCACTCCAAGGCTATAACCGACACGGACTTCCACCCGTCCGGCAAGACCTTCCTGACAGCCTCGTACGACCGCCAGATGAAACTCTGGGACACCGAATACGGCAAGTGCATCGCGCGCTTCTCCACAGGCAAGACACCGCACGTCCTTCGCTTCAACCCGGGCGCCGACCACTCACACGAGTTCCTGGCCGGCATGTCCGACAAGAAGATCGTGCAGTTCGACACGCGCTCCGGCGAGCTGGTCCAGGAATACGACCACCACCTGGCGGCCATCAACACCATCACGTTCGTCGACGAGAACCGCCGCTTCATCTCCACCTCGGACGACAAGTCCCTGCGCGCCTGGGAGTACGGCATCCCCGTGCCCATCAAGTTCATCGCCGAGCCGTACATGTTCGCCTTGACGCGCGCCGCGCCCCATCCAAACGGCAAGTACGTCGCCTTCCAGTCCGGCGACAACCAGATCGTCGTGTACGGCGCCACGGACAAATTCCGGCAGAACCGCAAGAAGAGTTTCAGGGGCCACAATAACGCTGGGTACGCTGTTGATGTGAAGATCTCGCCCGACGGCCAGTTCGTCGCGTCCGGTGACAGCGGCGGCTATGTCTGTTTCTGGGACTGGAAGACGGGCAAGATGTACCATAAGATCATGGCCGGGGGGAAAGAGGGCGGTGCTACCACCTGTCTGGACTGGCATCCCCAGGAGACGAGTAAAGTGGTTACGGGTGGATTGGAGGGTGTCATTAAATACTGGGATTAATTTTTTTTCGCTAGTTGGTTGCTCGCACGGCATGTATCTGTATATCTCACGAGTTTGCTCTTCACTAGAACACGGTTGCGTGGCACCCAAAAGGGTATGATTTTATTCGCCTAATCCATCTACCATTACCCGTAAGATACAGACCACTTGTAGAACATATTTTCCTGCCTTATATTGTACAAAAGACAAGGCTAGAAACTAGCCATCTCAATCCAGCTAGCCACAAAAGCCAACCTGCGTCCCCGGTCTGCCGCCATCCGGCGGGAAAACTCCTCAAAGTTGAGCTTAGCGCCTGTACCGCCGCGTTCCTTCGCCTCCCGCTCTATCTGGTTCAGGTATGCCCAGCGAGTAAGCGTCAGCGTGGAGGGAGGGAGTGTGGGACCATGGCGTCGCGGGAGGGAAGACGGTGAAGATGCAGCCGGCGGAAGAGGTTGAATGGGTGAAGGGGGCATCTTGGGTGCGGTGGCTTCAGCATCAGGTGAGGAGGATGGTGCAGGGAAGGCGGTGCTGCCCGGTTGAAGCCGGAGCTCCGCTGGGAGATCCTGCTGCTGTTGCTGCAGGTGGGTTTGCGAGACAGAAGTCATGGGGACGAAGAGTGAGTTGTCAAGGTCCGGAACAGGTAGGCCGGGCACTCCATGCGGATGGTCTGGTTCTTCGTTCGGTCGAAACTGTGGTAATGTCGGATCCGGCATCTCACGGAGTGGACTGGCTTCTGACGCGGCCTGAAACTCAGGCGTCAAGGAGCGCGCGGGCTCATTCGCAGCCGCGGTTTCTGCGACCCTCTCCTCGACTGGAGCAGAATCAACCAAATTGTCGTCTTCTTCAGGATCGGCGAGGTGCACATGTTGTGCACTCTCAGGGCTCCCCAATGTTGGGCGCACAGATAAATCGGGGCTATGATGAAGAGGCTCCAATTGTGGACTTCGCAAAGAATAACCAGACCGATTCAGGAGTTCCTGCAGTTCTTCGTCGGTTGCAGTCCCACCCTCCTGGGCCATCCGTTTCTTAGGATCCATCATCTCCACAAGTTCGATCTCGCGAGCCCAGATTTTGCGCTCTGTGCGGGTCCGATACGCTTCCATGAGCAGATCTTCCTTCGGCTTGAATAGGATGTCAAGGAGTTCGTTGAATCCCTGCTGCGTTACTTGATACAAGATCTCCTTGCCGACGTCTTTCTCGACCTCGGGGATCTCAAACCCACCCCACCGCTCGCCTACAGGGATACTGCGAGACGAAGTAGAGGGATTCGATCTGACGTCATAGTCATCGGTGAGATCGTCCTGGAAGCGCACCTTGGACGATGATCGAGAACGAGGGGATGGAGGGTGGGAATCGAGAGCTGAAGGGTGACCGGGGGCATCCTCATCCTCGGACAGATGGTCAACATCAGGATCGCTCACATAGCCTTCGGGAGCAGTGGCGCCATCTTCTACATCCGTGTAGAAGGCCCTCCGTCTCCAGCGCTCATCAATGCCGTCCCTGCGGACGTCGGTCAGGAGTCTGTGGTGGTCATCACGCATTCTACGGAAGACAACATCAGCAACGCGATCTCTGTCCTCAGGGTCAGTGACCTCTTGAAGCGGGACAGGAGTTCCGAGAGCGTTGACAATATCTTGTTCGAGAATGTTCTCCGTGCCGGGCCAGTCACTAGCCACTGAGGAACTGGACCCATCCTCATCGGAGCTGGCATCTTCATCGTTCCCTTGTTGTGCATCGCTTGAACGAGGAACATTCGAATCTCCGCGCCTGAAATCTGCGGCAGTCGAGTTTGCCTGTGCTGTCAGCTGTGCGGGAAACAGAGTCCCTCTGGATCCCCATCTGGCCCGGACAGCTGCCTCCCCTACAACAGCGTGTCGGTCGCCTGTGTCGGTGCCATCTTGACGTAATATACCCTGGTTATCCACGATTTCAAGATCTCCCCCGGAATTCAAGCGCTTCCCTTCCCCAGTCCTTGATGGCTCCCCGGAAGGAATACTGCCAGGGAATGCCGAGCTGACAGGCTGACTTCCAAGCACGACATCTCTTGCGCCTCCCTCGAGAAAGTCATCTTCCATGCCAGCAATCATGTCGCGAGTTAGCTCCCTGCTGAGAGCGTAGTATGCACGGAAAACCCGCAAGAAATCCTTGCGCTCCACGTAGCCATCTCCATCAATGTCGTAGCCACGGAACACTCGCCGCAACCTTTCGTCATTGCTCTTGTTATTTAAGCTGGCCAAACCCTTGAGGAATTCTTCAAACCCGATCAATCCATCATTGTTCGTGTCATAGAACGCAAACATGCGGTCGTAGATGAGGCATGGGGGCGGAGGACGGATGGAAGTATGCGGCACAAAACATCGATCAAACGTTTTGCGATCGATAGCCATGCACAACTTGTTCGGGTCGTCTGGCCACTCATAGCTCGCCAAGCACCGGAACTGGTCCCAGAGAGCGTCCAATTCCGTGTTCTCAAAATTGGTCTCCTTCATCAAACGCTTCGCCAGCGCGCGTGGCAAACTACGGGGCAGCATGGCTGGCTTTCCCGGGTACCACACCGGCTGCGACTGTCTGGGATTTCCTAGGAAGGGCGCCGGGATCCGAACCTTGTAGAAGAGATGGGTTTTGATGTGCACCTGCATCGCCTCACATGTCTCGCACAGGTCATAGTCAATGCAATTTGCGCACCGATACCGTATGCCTTGAATGGGCATGGCACCGCAGCTATTACACGTCACCTGTCGGTGGATATAGCCATCTCGTCTAGACTGATCCTCCGCAATGTGATATAGCAGGTTCAGGAGATTCTGGCCTTCCTGCGCCGGAGACGACTCGTTATTCCCTTCCCGCCAGGAGAAGACGCTCTGGTCGTCGACCACCGTCTCCCCACCATCCAAGTTCTGCAAGGGCACCGACTCCTCGGGAAACGTAGACGTAGACAGCGTAACCCTCTCTCCATTCTGGCGCCGCCGTCGCAGCTCCTCGCCGTAGTTGTCGTCCTCATTGAACCGTGCCAGCGCCCTTTCGATTCCCGTTCGCGAAATCCCCCGCCGCTGCAGCTGCTCGATGAGGTAGTTCCTCTCCGCACTCCCTTCCTCGATTGTATGGGCCGACGGAAAATCCAGAGCGAGGAATGACTCCAGGAATGTCTCCTCCATCATCTCGCGCATCCGCTCGGCATGGGCCTGCGGGACGCCGACCTCCTCCATCAGCTGATCGCGCGTAGCCAGGAGGGATGGGAGGAGGCCGCTCTCCACGCGGCGTCCGTCCTCGGTCTCAATGCGAAAGGTGCCGTACACGCCATTCTGCCGTTCTAGTTGCTCGAGATGAGCAATCGCGCGGTATGATGGTGTATTGCTGACATCGCTTTCGTCGGGTCCGGTTCGTCTTCGGCGGACAGCTCTTCGGCGACGTAGAGGTGTTTGGGGCGATGAGGGGAAAAGGATATTATTGTGGATGTATACCAGAGCATAGGCTGCGGCAACACCTGTGAGAAGGTAAAGAGCAGGACGATACCGTGTCAGGGAAACTGGTCGTGATTGGGACTCCGACATGACGGAGCAGGGTGGTTTGCAACTGCTGCGAGATTAGGTAGTTGATATCATTATCATCACTGTTCATCAAAAAATGAACATAGGAGTATTAAACCGCGTGAAATTAATGCGTAGGAAGCGGATAATGAAAGGTCTCGCATTAATATATCTGGAGAGCTGTGTTTGTAGGGAAATAGTAGCGGCGGCTTTGATCGGTCACGGCCTCGACCGCCTCCAAAGATTGGACCCGATTCTTGTCACTCCTCGGAGGTAATCGACGGGAATGGCGCATAGATTGTCCTATCAAGAGCTTCTACGTTGAATATGATGCTAAAGTGAACTGTATAGGACTAAAATAAACAATATGCACTTTTTGCCCTGGTTTCGTCACAGGGTTGGTGCGGTACGAGATATCTATATATCGTCATCGCATCTATCGACATCTACCCAAATCCCCATATGCACAAATCCCACATTGCCATCGTGTGGCATAGGTGTCTCTCGATTATTCCATACCGCTAATTGATCCGCTCAAGGAACCACGATCGAGTTTCGATTACCGACTCAGCTTGCTCTCTCGAATGAAGAAGCTGCTCAGGAGAGCGAAGAAGACGATGGCAACCATAAAGGCAAACCCTTTATTGGTAGCCCACCCATAGCAACCTCGCACGATCCTGGCAACTGTAGGATCGAGAGTTCTGATGTAGTCCAGACTCTGTCTCACTCCTTCGACAATACGATCAATGTCCTTGCTATCACGCAAAGCGAATCTGAGCTGACTGCGCAGGAGTTGTTGAACTACGGTGGAGGATAACGACACACCAATAACCGAACCTAGGGAGCGGAAAAGGTACGAGCAGGCAGTAACAACTGCCTGGTCCTCGGGAGTCACATTTGAAACTAAAACGTCAGTTTAACAGAGTTTGGAGGTAGCAAACAAGGTCGGAAACACTCACTCAACGCGATTAATGTCGTCGTGACACCGATCCCGTTCCCAAAGCCACAGAGCACCATTCCCAGGATCATAGGGATAAGGCTCTGAGTAACCCCACCCGTGAAAAGGTAGATGGTGGTCAGGCCCACTGTCAGGAGGCCGTAAGCAACAATGGTTAGCCAGTAGTACTTCCCTGTCCATTTCATGACATAGCCAGCGAACAGAGAGCCCGAAACACCGGCTATAATACTCGGCAGGAGGCGCAGGCCAGAGACCGTAGCAGACACGCCATCGACAGCTTGAAAGTACAGAGGAATAAAGAAAAGTCCCGCAAGCCAGCCGCCAAAGCTAAAAAAGTTGCAGCAGTAGCTGGCAAAGAAGGTTCGGTTGAAGATGATATGACCAGGGGCAAACGGCTCAGCGGCGAAGTAGATTTCGATCAACACAAAGAGCACAAACATGGCGAGAGAGATACAAAGCGACGCAATGGTTAACGGCATCGTCCAGGAGACGTTACTGCCTCGATCAAGCCCAAGGAGGAGGCACACTACTGCTCCAACGAGCGCAAACGCTCCTGGAAAGTCGATCCGGCGCAGCTTGGTCTTCCAATGGCTATCCTCCTGAACAGGCAGATCTAGCATGATCGACACAGCTAGGAACGCAAGAACACACAGAGGAACCTGAGCGAGAAAGGCCCTGGGAACATTGTTAGCACAACACGCAATCCTGAAGACGGGTCTTATGATGAACATACCACCGCCAGCCAATATAGTCGGACAGTATTCCTCCTGGTTAAACGTCAGCAAAAGTAGCTTCAAGTCAAATCGAAACAACTCGAACCTAGTGGAGCACCCGTTCCCGAGCCGGTGGCATAGATAATGTTGATGATCCCTTGCCAGACCCCTCGCTCTCGAAGGGGAACGATATCACTCATCAGGATGCTGACCACAGTGGTCATGCCGCCCCCTCCAATGCCTTGGAAAACCTTGATGTCTCATCAGCATCATTCCAGATCTTACAACCATTCTATGGGCCTTACACGAGCAGCGATCAACTCATGAATGTTTCGCGCCAGGCCGCAAAACAGACAGCCAAGACCGAACACAAAATACGAGAATAAGAGACATGCTCGTCTGCCAAAGATATCGGACAACTTGCCATACAATGGCTGAAAGCTGGCCAACGTGATGAAATAAGATGTAGCCACCCAACTGGTTAGATTGAGGGCTTTCAGGTCGGAACCGATCTGCCCATAACTGGCCACAATGATCGTCTGATCGGCTGCAGACAGGAAGATCTGTTTCCAGCAGCGTCAGCAACAATAATAATGCTGTCATAGCTCATAAGACCTACACCGAGGGAAACAGCAGGTAGAATGTATCGAAGGTTGTGCCTCGGCGCCAGGTCATCCTTCAGAGGATCCGCCTCGGGATCCCGAAGGATATTGTTGGTAATTGCACCATTGATGGGAGCATTCCCACTTTGCGGGCCCAGCAAAGGGGAGGTCTCGGTCGGAGTTCTCTCTGGGGACATCTCCTGAAGCCTGGTATGTACTACAACAAAGTGAGACGAGACAGGACGCAGGTCAAAAAGGGCGAGTCCATGATGAGTGAGTCGAACACGAAAAGTAAATCACGTGATGATAAGACAACCCCACTGACTCGCGATGACAAATTAAGCGTCAGGATGGAGCAATCGCGTTCGACATGATTGGTTCTTTCGGCAATCTCAGACCGGCCGCTCTCCGCAGGCTATCCACCTTCCTGAACAGGTAGTACTTCAGACTTCGGTTCCATTATTTGGTTGTTCCACTATCAACAATAACAGCGCCTTATCTGTTTCATCTGACTTCCGCATTACAGGTATCAGGTATAACATTCAGAAAACTTGCAGTCTATCAGAGGAATTTATTATTATTTTAGTTAACCAGATGTGGGTTATAACGATAATGAGAATTGCTCTTCAGCACAAGCGGTCCGTGCGTCGACGAAGACAATGCACGCGAACTCCTACTGTGCCAATGACATGTTCTGGCCCAGCAATCACCCATTGAACGAGATGACTCACTCGCTCATTTAGTCATCTATCTAAGATGGAAGGACTACATGTCGTACAGCGGCTTCGTCCAATAGAGCGTATCACCCCTTACACAACCTATCAGGATTGAGTTGGAATGATAACCTCAAGTCGTCAATGCTTCTAGTCATGTAGGGTCTATGGGTCTATATAATGCACATCAATTCTCAGCCGTCTTCGCATCCTCGGTGACGGGCATCGGAATGGGTCCACCGGGTGAATCAGGTAGACGAGCAGTCAGAACTTCCACACCATCCTCAGTGACGAGAAGCGTGTGCTCAAATTGCGCGGACAAGGAACCGTCCGCCGTAGTGCTAGTCCAGTCGTCAGGCCATGTCCGATCTCGGTGAGTACCAACGTTGATCATGGGTTCGATGGTGAAGCACATGCCAGGCTTGGCCGTTCCGACAGCCTTGTTCTTTGCGTAGTGAGGAACGTTGGGAGCACAGTGGAACAGCTGGTTGATGCCATGGCCACAGTAGGACTTGACCACACTGCAATTCCGGCTCTTTGCAAGCTTTTCAATGACGTTGCCTGGTTCTCTGAAGAGCATGCCGGGCTTGACCAATTCAATCGCTTTCTCTAGGCATTCTCGAGACGTTTCTACGACGCGCACAGCGTCTGGGTTCGCACGAGCCTTATCGCCAACGTAGTACGTCTCATTGAGATCGCCGTGGAAGCCGTTGTGATACAGGGTAACGTCAATGTTGACGATGTCTCCATCCTCAAGAGGGCGCTGGTCGGGGATGCCGTGACAGATTGTCTCGTTGACGGATGTACATACGGATTTAGGGAAGTGCATGTAGTTTAGAGGGGAAGGATAGGACTGCCCGACACATTAGACTGGGACCGTTTCCTTTGCTCTTTCCGAACGACAAGAAAGCCACTTACATTACGCTCCAAGCATGCCTTGTGCACAACTTCATCGATGTAGTCGGTCGTAACACCTGGTCTGACCTCCCTCGCGGCAATATCCAGCACCTCTCGAGCCAGACGGCAGACCTTCCTCATCCCTTCTTGCTGTTCCTTATTCAAGATGGTGATGTTGTGACGACCCACAAACTTCTGCTCTGAGCGAGGGATACCATCCTTGGCGTAATCGGGGTGAGGGATAGACTTGGGAACCGTTCGCATGGGAGACAGAGGATAGACGGGTCTCAGAGAGCCGGTAAATTGGAACGAAGGAAAAGGGTTGAAATGTCCCGTGGCTGGATCAGGTTCAGAAACTACCTTCGGAGGGAAGAGGTTGGACAGGATATTACTCTTCGATTTATGGATAGCCTTGTGTTCACTCTGATCGGAAGAGTCAGCGCATAATAGAAAAAAAGAATTGAGCAACACACGTGGACCTTATCGGTCACGCAAGGCAGCGTACCCAGCTCCGCTTGAAACAATCTTGCGAGCAGAAGAAGCTATCCGTGCCCATCTTCAAGCACGTTGGACACTGCAAACTTCCGGCATTGTTCGCGCACTCCACACCCATACATTTCCGGGTCGCAACTTCAACTCCCATATTGGCGCAACAATGAAAAGTCTATCGATAAGTAAGAAATATTTACTAAAGAAGAAGTAGAAGAGGAGAAGAGTAAACGGACTGGGGTATATTGTCCTCAGAAGGCGATGATTTGATAGTGGCAACAGGAAAAATTACCGTTATCAAGACCACTAATCCATATTTGACTTAGCGCAACATCGACGCTAAGATATCCGAAAGGGGACTAGTGCTTTGATGCGCTAAGCATTCACAACGCCAAGCCTTAATACTCCGAACAGTGAGTTCAAATTCCAGATCGGGTAAAGCTCAACCGACCTTTCCGACATCGCATGCGGCATATCATTTCACAGGTGAGAGGACATAAGGCGTCGGTCGTATGAGCTCGCAGAGAAGCAGCAATACCTTCACAAAAAGTGTCAAGTTCGGATAGATATTGAGCCGCTGTGTCGTTCATATGGCGGACACTGTACGGAAGAAGCAAAAACTTGTTGTCGTCGGAGCTGGTCCGGTTGGGTC